TCCACACTAAATTGTTAAATTCTTACTCTATCTAAAGCTAAGATAGATTTATTCACTGGCTTTGAACCAGGTTCCTTAGACCTATGCTGTATAGGGATATAGATGTTAGCTGCCTTTCAGCCATATGGAGATTTGAAATTAAGTGTGTTAAGTCAATACAAATGTACTAAGTACATATGGTATCATTTGGATATTAAAAATATTAAAACAGAGGCAATATAAAAGTAATATTGCATGTTCTTTCCATGAAACATACAGAAGAACTTCTGTAAGTTGACCACCGAAGGGACTGTAACAAATTGGTCAGCAGACAGAGGTGGTCCACATAAGGAACTAGGACCACTAAACTGATATGTACATGGGGTGCGCAAACGGTCTATGAAAACTAGGTCAACTTAAGTAGGTGTCAGTGTAGGAGTTGGTCAGCTGTGGAGGTTCTTTTTATCTTACAAGAAAATTATTGAAGTATTTGAGCAGATATTCTCCATAAAACCAAAGAGTTTAGGTTTGGAGCTTAGGGAAAAAAACACATAAACAAATCTGTGCTAAATCCTTCCAATATAATGAATACAATGTTAGAAATATATATCTTCTATAACAACTAGACAATAAAAAGAGATTTAAGAACAATAAAAACATATTTTCATAATGAAGGAGAAATAAATGGACTAATTTGAGAGTAAGCAGCTGATAGAGTGAGAGTGCCCAGGAGCAGAATCAGAAAGCATAAATCTTTAGTTGATGTTTTCTCTATTACAGAGGAGTGAAGTTCAAAGTGAAGAGATTACTGTTGACAACGTATAAAGAGTTATGAAAGTTAGGAAAAATTATACAGATGGCTCATACCTTTTTAGTGCTACTTAAGTGCATGGGTTGAATGTGCTTCCCAAAATGCATATAGTAAAGTTTAATCACCAATGTGGTAGTATTAAGAGGTGGAATCTCTGGGATCTGTTTAAGTCATGAGCATAGAGCCATCATCAATGAGGTTAGGCCTGTTGTAAAGCAGGTGTGAGAGAGCTGCGTGCCTCTCTTTTCCCCTCCTATCTCTTCCACCGTCTAAGAACAGCACTCTTCCCTTCCAAACAATGCAGCAACAAGGCACCATCTTGGAAACATATAGTAGCTCCTACCAGACACAAAACTTGTAGATGCCTTGATCTTAGTCTTCCTAGCTTCTACAACTGAGAAGTAGTAAATTTCTACTGTGTGCAAGTTATCCAGTCTATAATATTTTGTTACAGCAGCTCAGACAAACAAGACATTGTGTTAGGCACTATTTTGTGTATCATATTCATCAGCCTTTTTAAACTGTGCAGTAGTGATACCAAAGGTAGTACTACTGCTACCCATATCATACATGCGGTGAAACAAACGTGGAGAACTTTAGTGCCTTGGCCCAGCTAGAATATGACAGAATTAGTTGCAGACCCCAGCAGTCTGTGTCCAGAGTCAGCGCTCTCCAATGTCATGTCATCTTCTTTCAGTAGTCTACAGAGCAGGAGTGCATCCCTCCACTCCTCATAATAACACCAGGCACCAAAAGATTGAAAAATGGCAACTATTTCAGTTTTCAAAGAGGAGGAGACTATGTTATGAAATACTCCAGAAAATACCTTTACATAGATGATTAAATGATATTTTATTAATAACAAAATGTTGATCATGTGGAATGATTATTGTTTTCCCTAAGAATAAGTTATACCAAATTCAATCCATTTTTTTTATCTTTATGGTTGCTATCACTGATTGAATATGAATATGACATAAGCATATTATACCTTGGTACCAGTAAACATTTTTTTGTCTTATTAAAGATTTTAAGAAATTAAAGTTAAATAAAATCTTGATGATTTAGTATAAGTGAATTCATAGATAGTTGCAGTCCTGCACAAGGGTTCATAAGTAAATTGATACAAAGATGAATGAATGCCTTTAGATTATGCACAAAAAACTCTGCATTTGAGTTTAAAATATCCATTAATTAAGTACAGAGGAGGGAGAAATGAGTGGGAGTTCATGTTTTAAAAAGTGCTAAAAGTTTTAGTTAATTAAAATTTTAATGTGATTTGAAGACCACCTGCTGTCAAAACTTCTTATGCAATTGCAAGTGTGCCAACAAAAATATAGTGTACAGAACAAGAGAAGTAATAGATTACATAATCCTAAAATCACATCTAAATAATTACATTTCACCTGGGAGACATATAACAAAGGGAAATAATCAGAAGAGCAAATCACATGGTTAAAAAGTGGACATTTTATGCACGACTAAGAAAAATTTAATATGTAGAAGAGATGTGTGTGTGTATTCCAGGCATGAGTATTGAGAATATGTTGATCTCTTTTTGAGAAACAGAACAACACGATCTGATTTATATTTGAACAGAATTATTCTGTTCTATTGAGACAAGAGCAGAGGAGATAGGATGGAAGCAGGAGAATAAGATAGGTGGTAATGGTGCAGATCAGAGATGAAGGTTACCTGAATCCGGATAATTCAAAATGGTGAAATGCTGTACCTTTTTGGATTTACCATACTTTTAAAAGTAAAGGCAGCAAGATTTAGTAGAGTATGTAGGGTGCGAAACACTACACACCAAGGTATTGGGCCTAATCTATATTTTACCCATAGTACAAGTTCAGATTTTAAAGAAACCTTTAGAAATATTCTAATCAAAGATTTTTCTTTTTTTAAAGCATGCCGTCTACATCAACCTGCTCTTTCTTGAATACTTCAGTGACAAAGAACTCACTACCTCACGTAGCACTCCTATCATTTTAGAATAGCTTTGGTCTTAAGGGCTCTTTTCCTACACTTCTACATTGATACAAAGCCTGCCTTTCTGGGGTAGACAAGGAAGTGAGAACAGATAAAGAAACTATAGGAAAGTAGGTAAGAGAAAAGGGCAGGGAACCCATGCTTGTTTCTTCACTGGTATATCTGTAGTGCACAGCTCAGCATGTGTCATGACCTATGAACAAATTGTCTTCACTGTCTGAGAAATTTGGAGTAAGAGTGTTGGGTAGTAATGATGTGACCGTATTAGTTCATTATTTTCAGTAAGACTGAAAAAGAGGCAATTAAAATGTCTTTTCTATTCTGTATGCTTATATATGTACATGTCTTGGTGTTTGAGTTTGTATGTGACAATGTGGTTTTAAACAAATGAAGAATACTGTTGCATTCTAGTTTACAGTGTCATGGGGTCTCAAATCTCAGCTATATTTAACTATATCATGTCCTTCGCACAAGTAGTGATGTATAAACTACAGATGGCTACATTTGGGCCACCAACTAATGTAAATGCTTGCCAGATAGACTGGCACGTATCAGCTGAGTATTAGCTTCCTTGACTATGGGAAAATCAAGCTATTAGAGTGCTGAGTTTAAATAGTACATATTTCTATTTTGTCTTTATTGCAATGAACAAGCCCTGTCTTTAGCTCCTGCTGTGCACTTTTGGAGGGTCTTCCATATGGTTGCTGCTAAGTATTTTGGCATTTTCCCAACTGTTACAATTGGGTCAGTGGGGGGGATTGTATAGGAGTAATAAAATAAGGGTGACTTCAGCAGGGAGGAGTGCGATTACTACACACATAACAGCTTATTGCCTCTTGTGCATTGGGGCACTGATCTATGCCTTCATTACAACAGGAAGCCAGGGCAAACTGCCACAGAGCAGCTCCAGAAAAGGCCAGGTCTTGGGAGTGGAGACTGTCTTCCTCCTTTACATTTTTCTCCTCACATTTCCTTATTTCACCTCCCTCAATATCTAGAATTTGAGGAGGAATTAGACAATTACACTTTGCATATTGTAATAGTCATTTTGAGAAAGATCTCTTGAACAGATTGGGGAAAAAATGGGGAAGGAAAGTATGATTGTCCCAAACACTTAAAAATTCTTGAGACATGATTCATAAATTCAGAAGTGATTAATCATATTGACGCCATTATTGGAGTGCCTGCCATAATCAGAAATGACATCTGTGAAATAAAAATGCTACTATTATTCTCATCCTGTGGAAGGCAGTGTTGCTTAGAGCAGTAGCTTGGGCAGAAAAGTTCAATGCTAATCTAAGATTCAAAACAGTGAAATAGTGCATTAAAGAGATGTGTGCATACATGTACACATAAAGCTTGTATTTTCCATATTTATAATAATACACACAAGAATTCTTTAATTCACTACAATATTCCTTTAATATGATACGGAGATTGGATCCCTCCCTCTTTTTTTACATCAAACATCAATATATAGCGATGTAGAATTCTAATGGGATCATGGTATGGCCATGAAATTTTCTGATTTACGGCTTACAAGAAATCAAGAGAGTTGGTAAATTTAAACCGGTATACTAATGTATGGATTTTTTATTTGTTCATTATTTCCAGCCAAGAACATTAAAGTGTTTCCTTAAGAAACTTGCTCTCATACCCTTCCGCCTCGCGCCATCCCCAACTCTAAACGCTGCATCCCCGAAACCCACGCCGGTCGGGTCGCGGGAGTCCGGAGGCCCCGCGAAGAGCGGGTGCCCCGGGGTGGCGCGGGTGGGCGCCGGGGAGACAGACCGCTGAGCGAGGCAGAGCCCAAACCAGCGTGAACTCGGGAACCATCACCGAATACGGAACTCAGCATTACTGCCAGTCCCTGCCCTGATTCGCGCAGGAAAATACTGATCCTGACAGCAACGGGACGGTGACAAATCAAGTCTGAGTGGGTTCGCCCGGACGACCTATACTGTCTCTCGGGGATCCCCTAATTCCAGCTTCCTCGGGGCATGGGAGAAAGCTCGAAGCGTTGCTGGTTTCTGTTCTTTATCAACAAAGGACCCGCGTAGAGAGGTCCCCTGCCATCTCCCGCCGTCTCCCTCGCTCTCCCACCCGCGTAAGCCGGGTCCTCGCTTCTCCCCGCCGCGACTCGCAAGCGGGAAGAGCGGGCGGCCGCCGAGGCGAGGGAAGTGGCAGCGGCTTCAGGCGCCGCAGTGCGCAGGCGCGGCACAACGCGCAGGCGTCACCTAGAAGTGACTTCTCCAAAAAAGTCTCATAGTTCCCAGTCACCTGAGCCCTGGGAGACGCTGCCGCGCTAGCTCGTGGGATCCACGCCCTCCGCGGGTCCTGCCTGGCGACCCCGCCTCCTCCTCCTGTCCCTCGGCTCCTGCAGCCCCAACCCGCCGACGGCCTGTCCTTTTCCTCTGCCCTTTCCCTGTCTCCGGCCGGATCGGGCCGAACCGGGCCGCCCGGGCGCGGTCCCTGACCATGGCGTCCCTCTTCAAGAAGAAAACCGTGGATGGTGAGTTCCAGGACGGGCTGAAAGGGCCCAGCTTTGCGTTTCCCCGGCCTTTTTGGGGAGGGGAGGGGTGGGGGTTTCCGGCTGCGATTCTGGCTGTTGTCCCTCGGGGCAGAGCTGGTTCGAGTGGCCCCACAGGTGACCGCCCTCGCTGCGTCACTTCTCTGCTTCTCCGTATCTTCTCACTCTCCCCACCTCAACCTCACCTGGGCACTCTGGCTTCTGCCCTGTGATCACACTTCCCCGCCCACGTTTTTTTCTTCAGCAGCACCCTGTTTTCTGGGAACCAGGGTACTGCTAGCCCTTGCGTGTCATTAGACTTGGTGATTTAATGAATTGCTTATTGGTTTCTTCTGCTGGATTTGTTGCTCTTCAGTTTGGAGATGTACTACTTCTCGGCATCCAGACAGGAAACCTATCTCAAAGTAGGCGAGGGGATCCTAGGCTCCAGTTGGAACTTGAGTCTGTGCTGGGCTTGCCCTTTTTGCAACACCCTATCAGTAGAGGTGTGAAACAAATGCTTCCTGATGACTCCAGTAGAAAAATACAAGAAACCCAAGGGAAGTGCCCAGATTTAGTTTTCATAATGGATTTTTTCCTCTTATGATCATCTTTTGCTAATTAAAATAAAAGATGGGCTATGTATTATCTTCAGAGAAGTTCAAATTTTAGATACTGCATTGTTTCAGACATTTAGCTCAGTGTGATGTTAAGAGGGGAAAAAAGTGAATACAGGAGAGCACACTGTGTGTAGTGTTCCTACTCAGTGCCTCTCATGTATCTATGTAACACTGAGTAATCAATCATAATAGTCATTGACTGCTACCAGGAATTAAATTCATTTGAGTTATTTATAAATTGTGTTTCCCAGTACATGTTAAATCTAGGTTGTTGCTGGTTCAACCAAAGAATCACTTCTTTGTAAGGGTCTAACTCTGCCACAAAAGGAGCAGTGGTAGCAAGACAGTGATTGGTACAAAGAGGGTGCCCAGTCCAGACCTGGGAGTGACTCCTTCATTCCTTTGTGCTGACTGTTCCAATGCCAGCAAAATGATTTTGGGGAGGATAACAAAGACATCACCTTTACCCTGCTGCTCCAGCCTTCACTGCATCACGCAAATACCACTTTACCTCTAAGTGATCCTGCAGCATGATACATTTTTGCTATTCTGAGTGATTGAAAACAAAACTGAAAAAAATGATTTTGGTTTGTTGACTTTTATTAATTTACAATAAATTGATACATTATATCCCGAGTTGATAGTTATTCCAGGAATAATTGTCAACTCGGGATATACTATAACACAATTAGGAGAAATAGGTTGAATGTGTGTTTCTGATGAGAATGCTGTTTAATTTTTTTCACTGTTTCAGCACCAACATTGTGATCTTCACTTATTATATGGTATCCTAGGGGCGAGGGGGTCAAAGATTATTTCCTTGTTGCTTGAGTTTTACATAGCGAGAATTGTTTAATTTTATATTGTGTGAATTTACTAAACAGAGGAAAAATGGTTTTGTCTTAGTTACAGTAATGTTACATGTTGAGTTTTTTTTTAACATCAAGAGGTAAGCATCCTGGTTTTAACTGCTTAATATCTATCAGGTATTTTCAAAGACAGAATCTCATTTCTGTGCTTCCTGGTGCTTTTGGCAATGTGGTGACTGTTGTACTTGAAGTGTAGAGGACAGAAGAGGAGACAATGAGGGTGTGAGGACGGAGGTGCAGTGAGAGTGGATACTTATTTGCAGTTATTTCTCCCAAGAAATAATGTTTTTTGCTGAATAGACTTATTTGTGAAAAAAGTCTAAAGGACTTTTGCCAGGAACTATGCCAGTAAATTAAAGTTCGGGATGTGGGATTTGTGAATGTAAATTTGGGACCATGTGCCGTAACTATCAAGCTGCATACTTGATGTTTTGTAAAATCATTCTGTCAGCTCAAATCATTTACAGACATTTTAATTGCAGATCTGTATTTTCATTATTTTGATATAGAGCTTCACTATTTTTACTTCTTGTTTTATTAAAAAGGTTTTTACTTTTGTTTTAAAAGGGGGCAGTATTCTTCTTAGCAATAATGAGGCTATGTATTGTGAAATTTAATGTATTTCTCTCAGATCCTTGGATGTGTTGATTATTGATCATAAGATCTTTTATTGTATGCTGACTTTTTATCTGTTCCAGTGGTAATGAATTCTGATATGTAATCGAAATACGTAACTGCTTACAGATCTGGGGAATAATTTGAATCTTTTTGTCCCTTTGGATTGGCTGGAAGAGTTATATACTGTATCATTAAAAACTACCACACATGTAAATTAAAAAGGGAGACAACATTACAGCCCTTATTA